CACACACACACACACACACACACACACACACACACAAACCAGCCCTCTTGGAGACTCCTCGAAGAACTGGAGCTGTGGGGTGGGGGAGGGTGGAAAGTTGGAGGAAGACACCCACCCCTACCTCCAGCACCACCTCCCCACAAAGCTGCAGGTCCTGTCTGCCCCCTACTCTCTCTCCTCTCTGTCCCTCCTCATACCCCTGCCCCTCGGCCTTCCCTTCTGCCCACCACTCCAGCCCCGCGGGCGCTCCCTCATGTCTGCAGAGGAGAAGAGGCAGAGGAAGAAGGAGAAGTTGGGGTCTCCTGGGGAGAAGGGAGCCCTGCAGCGCTCCAAGACACTGATGAACCTCTTCTTCAAGGGAGGGCGGCAGGGGCGGCTGGCAGGGGACGGGCACAGAGAGGCCTGGACGCTGGACAGAGGGACCCCGGCCAAGCCCCGCCCTCGCCTGGACCCGGAGAAAGGTAAGCGCCATGCTGGTCAGATGAGATGGGGTGGACGCAGGTGGGGCCCACGTTGGCATCCAGCAGCTCTGCGTTTAAATCCCACACTGCTTATTACGAGCTGGGAGTAACCACTGGCCCCTGTAAGCCTGTTTCCTTATGAGTAAAGTGAGTGATGATACCTATTTCTTTAGGAGTAGTGAGGAATAAGTGTATGGATGGATGTAAACCACTTAAGGACCTCGTCTGGCATATGGAAGGTGCTCAGAAAATGTAGTGGTTATTGTTATACTGTCTCGTCTCCCCACTTTCCAGAAAGGAAATCCGTTAGAGGCACAACATAGCAAGGAAGTTGAAGGGCTTGGGTCAGATCCCTGTGCCCTTGGTGCTGAGGTGGGTAGGGGGCTCCTCTCCTCGAATACGTGGCTACATCTCCCCTGGCCAGGGCCCCAACAGGCCCTACCCAGCTCTAGAACCATCCTTGAGCAAGGTCATTTCTAAATCAGGGCCCAAGCAGAAGGGCCTCGGCAGTTTCCAGTATGTCAGGGGCTTCAAGGACCCTCAGAAAGGGCCTCTCGTCTTTCAGGTGAGGTTCAGAGACTGGACCGAGAGTGGAGGAGTTGAGACGCTTGGGGTTGTATGGGCCAGAAACTCAACTCAAATTAGGTTTAAAAAGCACTGCTTGGCTCAGCTACTGATGTAAGTGGGTCTAAAGATTTAAACACTCTCATCAGACATCTGCCCCCTTCATCTTTGGTTCCATTTTCCCCTGGGTTGGCTTCATTATCATGTAGGTTTTGCCCACTCAGAGTTAAGATGGCCACTGTTGCTTAGCAACCCAGGGACAAGAAAGCTTCTTAAATAGTTCCGGCTGAGGTCCTAGGTTCTCACTGACCCAGCGGGGACCACATGCCCAACAAATGGCTGTGGGGTGGGGTGGGGGGGTGCTCTCATGGGCCAGCCTGTGTCTTGTGCCCACTCTGGAGTACATGCGCTGAGAATGGGGGTCCCCAGGTGAAATCGGGGTGCTGTTTCCAGAGGGAGAGTGGGTGTTGGGTAGGAGCTGGCCCTGCCCCTCCTGGGGGGCTAAAGTGAGAGTCTCACGGGAGAGACTCTTTAAATGAGGCCAGGCCAGCTTCCACCTCTTCAACCCATCTCTTTTTCCACAGCCCCCGGGGCCCTGTTCTCTCCTGATTCTCCTCCCATCCCTCTGGCCTCTCCTCTCTCTCCTCCAAAGGCTCTTCTTTTTTTCTCTGTCCCTTGAAGGTAGGTGCCCCCCCCACCTTCCCTTCGGGGTTCTTCCCCCCATATATTTGCCTCTGAATGAGTCTCCACAAGCAGAGGTCAAGCTGTACCCTCTCTTGGTCCCAAACCTTCACGGACTTCCACTGCCTATGAATGAAGTCCCTAGTTGACCATGGCCCCAAGACCTTCATGGCCTGGCCTCTGGCCTCCCCATTCCACCTCCTCCCAGCCTGAGCTTTTCATCCCAGCCGGTGATCCAGCCATCCCTGAGCCCCCCCAAGCCCCATTTGCAGATTGGGAGCCAGGGCCTTCAGCGTAACCCTTCTTCTCCACGGCAGGGGCAGTGGGGCCCGTGCAGAAGTTTGTCACATGGAGACTGAGACGCGGTAATTCAGCATCCCTTTAGCAAGGCCTGGTGACAGACCTGCAGATGGGGTGCATGTTGGGGGCTGTTAAGGAGCTTTGGGCTAAACTCAGTTGGGGCCAAGTATGGGGGACTGGGTGCGAATTGAGGGCAGCTAAAAGAATTGGACCAAGCTTACTCGGAAAGACAGGGCTGCAGACAGATGTTGGGGTATGTTTTTGAGGACTGGGGAGCTTGGTTGGGACTCCCAAAGACAGATTTTGGGGGCGGTGAGGGAGCCTGTGCCAGAACTCCAATGAGTACTCTGACAGTGCATGTTCGGGGGCCCGGAGGGCACTGGGCTAGGACACCATTAAGGAACAGACTAGTAAAGGGGTCTGTGATGGGGGCCATGGGGTCTGGACTGGTGCTCCACTGGTGGGCAGATTGCTATGGGAGGCCATGGAGGGGAGAGTCCGGGCTAGGCCGGGATGTTGTCAGGGGCACCTAGGCCTCTCACGGACCTGTTCTGGGGTCCGACCCAATTGAGAGAAGCCCCTACTTCCCCCTCGATGTCTCCTGGCTCCTTCATCATACACCTTCGTTCCTGCCCTACAGAGCGGGAGAGGGGCCGGGCCCTGCTCTCTGCCAGGTCTGGGAGCCCCTCTGGCCAGCTGCCTGATGTGGATGAGCGGGTGCAAGCCTGGGAGAGCCGACGGCCCCTAATTCAGGACCTGGCCCGACGGCTGCTGACTGACGACGAGGTGCTGGCAGTCACCCGCCACTGCTCCCGGGTGAGCTTCCAGCCTGCCCCCAACTCCAGCACACGGTCACCCAGCCCCTCGTTCATTCAGGCCACTGTCTCCGGCTATCTGGGATCGAGGCCGTGAGGTCAGTGGTCAGAAAATGCAGGAGTCACTCCTGTCACACACACACACACACACACTGAGCTTACAGGCAGGAAGGGGAGTTACAATGACTAGAACCTAGACACCCATAGTGACAAATCATGTGAAGTACTGTGAAAGGAAAAAAACATGAGAATATAACCCAAGAGGTACAAATTAGGTCTAGGGGGGCCTCCTGGAGGAGGTGATATTTCAGCTGAGACGGAGCCAGACAGGTGATGAGTGGGGGCACACCGCAGTCACTGCCTTCCTCTTCCTGTCAACCCCAGCCTCCCCTTTCACATGCCTCCCTCTGCACCTGGGTCAGCCGACAGGCCCAGCCTCATGCCGGACCTTCCAGGGGGATTGGTAGGCCCTCCCCTATCCCTCTGCCTCAAAGACCCCAGGTTTCCTGTGCTGGGGTCCCTGTGATGTGCCTGCATCAGTGCACGTGTGAGCCTGTGTGCAAGGACAAACTGAGGGGTTCCAGGGCATAGTTTGTGATCCCCAACCCCCCAAAGCTCTCTCACTCTGGTCAGGGTAGGGCTGTGTTGTGTGACTGTGTGATGTGTACATTTGTGTGTCCGTGGGGTCCCTGGGTTTGTTTCACCCTAACTGTGTGACGGATCTGTGTGTGAGCGTGTATGTGTCTGGCTAAGGCACGTGTGTGTCACGTGGAGACTGAGGCCCAGTAATTCCTGCGGCCCTTTACCAAGGTCTGGTTTACAGCAGAGCTGCAGATGGGGTGCGTGTTGGGGGGAAACTAAGGTTCTCTGGGCTAAACTCCGGAAGTGTCAGCCTGCTCCACTCTGAGCGCTAAGTGGGGTGGCGCGCCCCGGCCGCCGTGAGCTTGCAATTCTGGGCTCTGGCCATTAGGTGGCGTGATGTGTCCGTTTCTTTGGTCAGGTCCTTCTCCATCATCCCTCTGTTCCTCCCACCCTGTCCAAACCAGGACCACCTCTCACTGCACCCCCACAGCACCTGCACACCACCCAAACTTGACCCGCACGACACCCACACCAAGAGATCAGGCCCTCTGGGGTAGAGCTCTGGCCAGAATGATTAGTAAATCTCCCCCAGTGACTCAGATCACCGGGCCTCCCCTCTCTCGCCTCCTCTGAGCTGTCTCTCCACAGCCACCAGACCAGGCTTTATAAGTCACCTCTTTGATCACTTTACACTCCCC